ATTCTTTAAGCACCGGTTTGAGCACCGTTTAAGCACCGGCACCGTTTCAAAAGTACCGGTTTGGCACCGGTATCGGATAAAACCTAAACGATACCCATCCCTACACACATGTGTACTATTTTTAAATTGTGTCAACAGAAAACGTCCATAATTCATTATTAGCACAACCAGGTATGAAAAACAAAACAGTTAGCATTGGTCTAAGCAATAGGTTTAAGCATGAAATTCACTTAATCAATGCTGTATCATGAAGCTTTCTTTCAAGACATGCCTTTGAGCAGAAAGCTTTGAATTGACTATATTCTCACAGGCTTTCAAACATATGCCTCACTAATAGGTAGACTGTTTGAAATTCAGAATTTCTGTCAAAGACCTTAATGCTTTTATTAAATCTAAATGAAGGTTATGGAATAAAAACACAGCTAAACTGCTGTCACCAATTAAGAATTTGGCAAACCACCAGTTACTGGAGTTACCGTACGCATTTTTCAGAAATTTACTATTTAAATATCTAAAGTTCTTAAAAGGTCTCAACAAGGTTGCTGGATATCTTTGATGCAGGAAATGTACCATATAAGATGTTCAGAAACACGATCCATCTACGCATTTAATGAGTAGAAGTCTGTGTCAGCACAGGTCAAGATTATGACTAATGCTTTGGCAACACTAACTGTTCTCATTTAAAATAATAAGGATACTTTTCTACATTTTTTCATGGCTAAATAATTTGGTAGCGCTAATCGCAGCCTGGGTTGTCTCTTTTCTTACCATTGGGTACCACGCTGGCATTATTGAAGATAATAGAGTGATTATAGCCAGGGTGAATTATTGAGAGTTGACTGGGGGAGGCAGAGCAAGGGAACAAGGCGAAAGGATGATATTGGTAGCAGTGACATATATAGACAGTAATTCACTAAGAGAGAGAAAGCAAAGCAGAAAAAAGAAGTGGATAGCAGAATGATGCAGAGAGCCTAAGATGAATTGGAGAAAGGAAAGGAGGCCTGTACAAATGAACACAACGCGGAGCTTTTTGGTCAGACACTTTTAATATTGCTCAAGCAGATATAGATTTGGACAGACACAGTGAGTGCGTGAGTGTGTGTGTGAGTGGCAGAATTAGAGACATATTGAGTTAAGCAACAAACAGCTTATTTCTCTCTCCTTTGCTTCACTGCAGTAGATTTATGGTGGTTGCAGTGGCCTTTGGGCTCCAGGCTGTTCTCAGCATGATAACCTCCTAGCAATGCACTCCCTCTGCGCTGTCAGCATGATGCTGCACACACACACACATAGACACATACGCAAACACACGTACTAACGTGCACACATAACAACACAACAAAAGGAGGGAGACACTGGCTCACACTACCAAGTACAAACAAATGCGCAGAAGCATTTAGGCACACAGAGAGCCACACACACATACATAACTAAATCAAAGTCTTCACACAGACACACACACACACACACAGACACGCTATCTCGATTGTCACACCCTCATGACTACAGAGTGCTTAACATCCTGCCCTTGACACTCTGCATTTAGCACAGCAAACGCTTTTCCATCTATAACAGAGATATAGATAGTGTGTGTGTGTGTGTGTGTGTGTGTGTGTGTGTGTGTGTGTGTGTGTGTGTGTGCATATGTGTGATTGAGGAAAGGTGTAAGTGTCTGTCCCCCTTCAATCTTTACCCTGTGGGATAATAAGCTGTTTTCACCTCTATTCTGGATGTCTCTTTGTGTGTCTTCGTGCCATTGATTATGCTGTGTCTCAGTTTCTGATTGGAATCAATTATTAATGTATCATTCTCCACATATTTTTCTTCATCTCTTTGCATTCTCTGGCCCCTCAATCTTCTCTATTCCTTCCAATGTTTTGTTCTCTATATGCTTCATATTTTCCCATGTGACTTCCCCTGTTTGCTATATTCTAAGAGGTTTTTTCCACATTGCTCTGACAGTTGCTGTCTTTCTCTCTGATGTTTGTCTCGCTGGATTTCCACTGCTGTCATGGCAGGAGAGAAGTAAAGGCGCCAGAGCTGACAGCAATACAGAGAAATGGCAGGCGCTGTGGTCGTAGGGTCCATAATAACCTGTGCCTCTCTCCATCAGATCCCTGCACTGGCATCTTGACCATGGGTAAGAGGAATAACAAAGTACAGGGTGGGCCATTTATATGGATACACCGTAATAAAATGGGAATGGTTGGTGATATTAAAGTCCTGTTTGTGGCACATTAGTATATGTGAGGGGGCAAACTCCTCAAGATGGGTGGTGACCACGGTGTTACATTGAAACCAAGCACACCGTTGTTTTTCTTGTGACATTACCAATAAGTTTGATGTGTCACATGGCCCTCTTCCTATTGGAAAAACAAAAGTTGTATCCAAGATGGCCGACTTCTAAATGGCCACCATGGTCACCACCCATCTTGAGGAGTTTGCCCCCTCACATATACTAATGTGCCACAAACAGGACTTTAATATCACCAACCATTCCGATTTTATTACGGTGTATCCATATAAATGGCCCACCCTGTAGACTTAAATTGCTAAAAGTGAAATACGGTCTTTTTAAATTGTTTGTTGTCTGTAGCAAAAGAAGGGAACACCAGACGTCGACTTATCGGCTTCCTTTTTTTCTCAGTCATTTGCCACCAGCGCTTAGGTGCAGTATTTGTAACTTAATAATAATGATAACAATTTCTTATAGAACAAAATCAACAAAGTATTAGGTGATCTTTCAGTGTCAGCTGAAAGATCTGAACAATAATCTCTTGGACATTTATGTTTTCTTAAATAACCAAGAGATGTGGGAATGTAACACAATGTAACCATATTGAAAAAAGGAGACAAAGAGGCAAAATTGGCAACAAAATAAATTATTTTATTAATAATTAAACTAAACGAGACAGACAAGCTTCTTGCACCATCAAAGGAAAGAAAAATTTACAAAACCCAGATGTTGGTAACTAATTAAAGAAGTAAAAAAAGGTTAAATGACCAATAACTCTCCTCTTTACAGAACAGAAGCAAGCAGCAGTAATACACAGCTCACAAGCTGCAAAACAAAAAGGCAGACTGTCACTAGGGCTCTCCTCTCTAGTGCCAGCCTTAAGCACTCTGGCCTAATTGCTGAGTAGAATCAGCTGCACTCAAGGATGGCACCTAAGGCTGGAGAGCAAGGCCCACCCACTGGGGGCAATATTACAGCAGGTCCTGCTGGGGTTATAACAATATTGCTCTCATTTACTCTGGTTATGTCTGTCAACACAAGACCAATTTGTTTTTACTTAAAACTGAAACTTGTCATGTATTTGTGGAATTGCTTAAAAAATCAAAAGAACAAAAACCTATAAACTATGTAGTTCCTCAAACAACATGAAATAGTTTCTTTTCTGTCTCTTGGGATCTAGAGAAAGCTTACAATAGGGTGCCACAGAGAGGAACTGTGGTAGGCTACTGCATAAGGAAGTCAGGAGTGACAGAGACATTTGTGAGGGTGGTGCCAGGAATGTATGAGAACAGCAGGACGGTGTGCGGTAAGAGTGACAGTTTAGTTCAAGAAGAGTGTGAGATTAGATCAGGGTTCAGCTCTGAACCCTTCTTGTTTGCAGTGGTGATGGACAGGATGACAGATGACTACTGGCAGGAGTTTCCATGTGCTATAATGTTTGTAGATGACATTGTGATCTTTATTGAGATTAGGGAGAAGGTAGAAAAGGACCTGGAGAGATGGAGGTATGAACTGGAAAGTCAGATGAGAGTGTGAATGAGAAGGAAATGTGACAATACAAGGAGTAGAAGTATTGAAGGTGGTCAGAATACACGAGAGGGCAGGCTGGGTGGATGGAGATGTGACAGAACGATAGCAGCAAGAGTGAAAGGCAAAGTTAGGTCATTAGACCTGCCATGATGTATGGTTTGGAAAAGGTGACACTAACAAAAACACAGGTGTCAGAACCAGAGATGGCAGAGCTGAAGATGCTAAGATTTTCAAAATGAATATATCAGAGGGTCAGATCAG